CTTGTTTTAATAGAGACCTGTATCTACTTAGCATGATAACAAAGTGATTTACATTTGAAAGGCAGCCAGGTTTGTATGATAACAAAGTCAACCCTAGCCTCACTCCCATTCAAAGGCTTGGCAACCAAGCACACAACTGTAAAATGGACTATTGAATTACATATCAGATTTCCAGATACATTTGAGAATCACAATCAATTGAGGTTAACTGTATTTCAGCCTGCTGTTTCTATGCAAGTAGAAAGATGATCCTCGCTGTTACGTAAGTGCAATAAAACAAATTGCAGAGGAGAATCCTTAAAAAAAGTTAGACAACGACTTCTGAATCGAAGCTACTGTTGCTGTTGTTGTTGCTTTGGAAACACGTGATCCGGACTACACGAACGGTGTCGGACACAGATGACGCTCGCACCTCATTTTACAAAACAAAATGTAGGACGAAGAAAACCTCTCATGAATATTTTTTTTACTGTTGCATTAGTGCTATTTGCTGTCACACTTAATTATTTTTCGTTGGAGAGCATATGTTTTTGTCCGTGTTTTTTCTCAGCACCACTTGGCGTATATATTTACTTAAAATATAAACACTGCTCTTCTTCTTTAACTGCAACCCTGGTTTTCTTCCAAAAAAATCTGTCAAATTAAATGGCAGTAAAATCATGATTTAAAAAGAAAAGACGAAGAAAAATTAGGGAGGAAAAAAAAGTACTAAGACGAATGAAAAACAGAATTCCCCAAGTTGTAATAATATTGATTTGAGATATTTCCCAATTATTAGTTTCTGTCGTTGAGATGCGCTTATCAAACTAAACGGTGTCAAACTTTGTTGATATACCCAAATTAAAGGGTGTCAGTTCCGTTATGGAATTAGGTTTATGGACATATCTCTTGGTCAAATTTTAATCAGGAAAAATACTATTAATTCCATCTGCTTTACCAATTTACTGTGAATTCAAGTAAGATCTTTCTAAAAGACTGTCACTTTTCCCAAGAAGCTAGTTGAAAGGTTCATCTCAATCAATTTAATGGCTTTGGTTTCGCATTTTATAGGTTAGTTCTCTTCGATGAGAAAACATGATTCACTGAATGCATTTGAAAAATTTGACTGCTGTCAAGGAAAACAGCAAACATTTTACTTGAAATTTCCCACTAGCATCCTTTGCAATTTTTCTGATAATTCATGATATTTTATTTTTGACAGGTCACCCCCAGAAGCAAATTCGTTGCATGACACGTTTTTCTTTGCCAAGTTTTTGGACAAGGACATTTGTCAACCAGAAAAATTGACACCTTTTTTTTTATTTTTTTTTTTTATTTACACTGCCATCAGAGATTGAGAAGAAAAAGCGTATTAAGGAAAATTCAAATTTCCGCTTTGCAAAAAACTCGTTTTAAACGCCATGCTTTTAAACCCAAAATTCCAGTTCACATGATATTCTATCATTGTCCCAAAAGACTTGACCTATTTTGGAAACAATAAATCAGTGGTGATTTCTAGCAAGTTCAATACGAAAAAAAACCAACCTTTTGAAGTTCATGTGAGCCCACATTAAAATGCTTCCATCTGATCTTTGGATCCATCAGCTTGCGGTCAGCGATATTTTTGTAAATTTTGCAACTCCACCTCCTCTTGTGCTTTTTAAACACGCCAAAAGACGCACACTTTACGGTCCGTAAACAGATATCGAGGCATTCCATCATTGAATAAACGGACTGCTTAGATAGCATTAATTTCTTGTCACTAGAAAAATTTCTGGGAAGCTGACGAGTCAGTCAGAGGTTTTCAAAGTTTTCTACAGAGCTTGGACATGATTTACCACTTGTGATTGCAAACACAACAAGAAACCACAAGGAAAAGATTGTTCGCAAATTCAGGCTCGTCATTTTAGTGAAATGAGTGTTCCGGATACAATCTAGGTTGGTATGGAATTGGCAGATCTCAGGTTTGATCTTGACAGACCAAAATACAATTGCTGACATAAAGCAACTTGCCTCATTGCGATTTTTCTGTTTGTTCGATCTTCTGTTTGTTCGATCTCAAGACAAATTATAATTCACTAAATTTATGCCAACCAGGCGAACAATTGGTGCGCGTCCGTACAACTGCATTTCATTTCGAGTTAAACACGTCAATGCAAATTTCCACATTCAATTTAGAGTAGTTATGATTAACCTTCTCTATTAATGATAGTATGGAAAATGTTTCAGCATAAAGTTCAGTTGACCAGGTAGCTTTCTAGATTTTTTTTCATTTCGGTTCATATGTAGATTAACTAGACCTAGTTCATCGCCAAGGCTTCTATGGAAATATTTTAGTCACTGTTAAGTCGTAATTTAAATATCGAGTTTGGAGAGAATTCTATATGAGGTTAGAAAGAGGTAAAGATTGTAAACAACATTCTAAGTTAAGGGCCAAAGATTATACTGCACGTTCACAGCTGTGGCGGGTATGGAAAGGGTTAGTTCTGTTGTTGTCTGGAACAGTGAGGGATCAATATGTATGTATACCACTTCCCCAAGCACTGTAAATAAACATAGTGTGTTACTGCCAAAAGGCGAGTCCTTTCGTGGCCGCTTACAGCAATGATTACAAACGCTCCATCAGAGGGAGAGGTTTGAACTAATGAAGAACCAACAAAAAATACAAGCTTACAAAATGCAGAAATATAAAACTGAAAGGCGACTAAAGCGTATCGGCGCTGTAGGCCGCGAAAAGGCAACTCTAAACCGGATGTTCTCTTAAGACAAGATGTTGTCTCCATGATATCAACGATGAAACTAAAAAGTTAGAATATTAACAACATGTAAATTATACCGAACGCGGGAAAGAAAGACAAAACGTATTCCCGAAGGAACGCTAATGAAGTGAAATAAAATGCAGAGAATGCTAAATTCTACTTAGTGTTTTAAAACATCCGACTGGAAGGAGGTAGACTAACTGGCTATACAATGCGCAGCAAAGGAATTGAACTTGGGACAACCGAGAATAATTTCAGTGACCATCAGGTTGAGGACTTTAACCCGTTATCATCAGATCACAAGACCAGTGGCCCGAGTACCGACTCGGCCAGACTGCCTCCATGATCTGATCACTGTTATAAAACAAAGGCATCAACAGAAACTGCAACAAAATTGGAAGAGCTTTGCATCAAAACGTGCTATAGCAAGTGATTATGTTAGCCAAGACCCGAAGATGAATGATGACATGAATAATAGGATATGGATACCATACTGCCTTTTTTATCAAACTAGAGAGTCATAAGGAGAAGCAAATCACACAGAAATAAAAATGAAGGAAATTAAAACAAAAAATTGAGAAAATTGCTAACCTGTTGAAGCTCTTGGGCACTCATGTTAAAACTAGTGAATCCTTCAGAATGACGCCTGGCTATTTTGTTTGAAAAAAATTGCTTCTTTGTTTATTAAACAGATCCAAACAGACCGTGCGCGCGTGCCGCGCTTATGCTTTGCTGGTTTCAAAGCATAAGAAGCACACTTAGAAGTTCGTAAACAGATGTCAAGGTATTCCACCTTTTTTACGCACGATTTAATAAGTCATTCTCGTCCCTGGATGAACACGTCCCACCTTCTGACGATGTTTCAGTATATTCTGGCGGTTGGATAGAGCACTGTGAGGCGCCTCACAGCAAAAGGAACTTTCCGATACAAGAAAAATTAAACAGAATGCAAATTTAAGGCCTGATGTCGCCATTCTTTTTTTGCCAGAAGAAAAAAATTCAAAATGGAAATATAAAGTTAACGTTGCAATTACTTACTGATTAAATACTTACTCATTTCTAACTAAAGTGCTTAAATCCTGGTCTACCTCACAATTACTTCCTTTACTCTCACCTTTTATACTTGGTATTTTATTTTTGATTTAAAAAAAAGTGAAACATTTTTTGTTTTCTTTTCACAGAACCTTCAACTTGCGGTCCAGACGTTTACACTAGCTACGTTTTATTAAAAGAATGGAGAAGTTTAAATTTGAACGTGGTGTCTTTGAAAAAGTTATAGGCCTTGCCTATAATGCTTTTTGGACGTTTAATAAAAATTGATGTTACTCATCAAATTTCACATTTGAAAATCCTGACTACTTTATCAGCAATAGGTTATAATCTTAGATCACTGTTCTGAAATAAAGCTGGTCAGAGTGGAACTAAGTCTCTAGATTCTATCTTGATAAATCATTTGCTCTTTTCCACTTCCATCTTTGCTTGAAAAATCAAGTGTTGCTGATCCAGTGGGCTTGATAGAGACATACAGATATTCTTCATTTAGCACGTGGAAGTCGAAGATAATAAAATCTGAAAGTGAAAGCAGTAACCTGAATTTAGTATCCCCAAAATAACGTTCTAAAATTGCCTTAGTCTAGGCAGGTAGTTATTTGTAGCATATACTGAAACTGTCGATTGCCTTGAAGGATCGAGCGCTCTTATTGTCTCCTAAAACTCCGATAACCTTTGCTTTTCACCTCAGAGGGATTTGCACTCAAAAATATTGTAATAGTTGCAGAATCAATAAATGACTTAAAATCATCTTTTTGTGCAATAGCATCGTACTGTTTTAGTACTATACACTAAAACAGCCTCTCCCCCCTCCCCTCCCTCTCCTGATGTCGGAGGCTAGTGGTGGATATTTACACAACCACTTGCGGCTCGATAAATATCCACCTGAGTAACAACCACACTTTGGTGAACAGTTGTTAATTATCCCGACTGCATTTGTCGTTTAAACCAACGGTCACAAAACAACATCTGGAAAGACTCCAGAATAAATGCACGAACTCTTTCAATTACTTTATCAAAGTTGTTTATCATCAATGAAGGCATGACTATTAAAAAAAGGGTCTTCCTTTGCTGCATGCAGATCTCCTTTTAACAAAGTCCCTTTATCCCCAGTGATTGGTGAATTCATAGTAACTAATGTTTATTTCATGCAGACAGTGCAAATTGGCATAGAGCCATTGGTTGCCGCTAACATCCTGATATGGCGTTAAAAAACTTTACCAAACGAGGAACCTTTTGAACCATTTGCTTACAGTGCCACTTCAAGTGATGACAGTATGACATATTTTCACCCTTTTAGGCGAGTCAAAGCAACATCCGGACGTCAATTAGGTTTTTTAGACATAGTAAAAATTTCCATAAATTCGCTCAATATTTCTGGAAAATTCTTTTAAAAAACTTCGGTCGGTTATCATCAAGTCTATGAGCGTTGACACTAACAATCATGAAAAGTCTAACTTGATTAATTAAGAATGAATTTTAGTGAACTTTTCACTTAAATTTGAATTGGCTTCATAGCAACGAGGAAGTTGCTTTTGGCATTTTATTTTAATTATTTGTTTGATATGCCTAGATTGCCGCAGGATACTCTCATCTTCTCCATATAACGCCGCTAATGGCCTCGGATATATATTTTTGCATTGAATTCACAAAAAGATAGGGTTTTTTTTAGACGCCTTTACAATTTCCACACCAACTGTCAGCTTCTGAATGAAATCTTCCGTGACGAATGAATCGTTTAGAATGTGTGTGCAAACCAGCAGGTTAATGGTAAACATTCTTTCCGTTTAGTAAAACAGTCATTAATCGAATCAAAAGCGTCTGTTTTGAAGAAAACATTGAGTGTTTTTTTGTGGACTTGCATGTTGTTCATTTTGTGCATTTGGTTCTGGGAGACCAATTGTCTGCAGCTGAGCACCTTATATCATGTATATTACAGAAATGCAAATTTAGGAAACAACTTTACAATATTTCATTTCAATGAGAAAATTGGTTTTGAAATGAAACAAAAAAATATGACAGCTATAGCTCTTTCATAATCCTTTCCGCGTACCTTTTTTTTCTGTTTTTTCAGTATTGAAAACCTATGGAAGTTAATCTTATGTGGGTTAGGAAACAGTTTTGAGGTAGATTTTTCAATCTGTTTGCCTGCAGTGCTAAATTTTCTGATTTGAAAGCATCTGATACTCTGGATTTGGTGCCCAATAATTATGAAATACCTTTTGAGATTTGCGTTGAAATCGATTGTGAGATCCACCGAGCAAAAACGATACATCATTAACGTTCATGCAATGGTCGAACAAAACCGTATTTTATAATGTAAAGAACTAACCTCTTGAAGGTTATGAGAGCTTATGTTGAAATGAAACCACGCTCTCGATGAAACGAGTTCTGTATCTGGGGCAGATAACCGTTGCTTAACTGAGCAAATCCAATGCTTCGTAGAATTCTCTGAATATACTTGTTTCATGTCGAAGAAATCGCACCTTGCATTTCGAAGACAAAGATCAAGACACTCCATCTGTGAAATAACGCGCCCGCCTAATAACTTGACTGCACTATTCCGAGGAAATTTACCCCGTTGCTGATGGGTTTGTAGGATGCTTTGAAAAGCATTTTGGCAGGAATAGCCTAGTAAGGGGGTATCAAATGTTAGGCATACCATGGTCAGCAGTACAGAAGCAAAATAATCTTTGAACAACATAGTTCAAGGTTCAATTCCTAAGTTAGTTAAATGACAGCGGAAATGAAGTTTTTGTAGCTTTGGACGAAGATAATTAACAAAGTGACGTTAAATTTGATGTTTTTCCTTTTATGGGTTGTTTATGACTCAACTCGGCATAATATTTTGAATAAAGCACATTGAAGTATTGTTATTTAATTTGTAGAATGAATTTTCAAAGCTAATAGATAACGCAACACTTCAAACATGAACATCTTGAAGAAGATTTCATTCGTCCCACATAACGCTGATAAAAAAATTCTCAGTGGCTTAAATTATTCCAGAATTATTTTAAATCCTAGATTTCTAATTTTTTTTTTTAATTTATAAATATGGAACTGGCTGATTTCCAAACTAAATAAAAAGTTTTATCTGGAGATTTATCAGGACGGAGATTATGAATCTGCAATAAAATAAAAACAAATGACAGTAATGGCAGCGGTGGTAAAAAATTGGTATTTAAAATAGATTGTAATATTCTAAGCTTAAATATACGTAGGCATATGACGGTTTAAAAGAAATCTTGCCCAGAAAATTCATGGAGCTTGAAGATAAAACAAATTAAACATTTCTACAGATAAAAACAGAATTTACTCGAATTCATGGTTACCCATGAATGATTCACTCTTTTGCCTATGCTTATGGCCGAATGCTCAAAGGAATTTTTTTCTCCCACAAAGCGAACGCTTTAACAACTGTTTAAACAGTTGCAGCTACTAAAAATCGTGCAAATGACTCGTGCGTTGTGTAGAATATAAAACTAAAGAATATTATGAAGCTCGAAAAACTGGATATTAGCAAGTGGCGTGAGTCCTCCGATAGACGCTCTTTAATAATAATAATGATAGCTATATTCCTTATTGATTCAAAAGAGAAAAGACTACATTTCTTATATGAAAAAAAATTTAAAAAATACTTCTAACACATCTAGGTTACATTTAACCATTAGTCGATAAAAATAGGAGTTCTCCATTCGATTCTAAAAAGGACTGCTTAAGAAAATACTTAAAATACAAGTAAAAGCAGGAATATTAGTAAAAATACCAGTAAAAACAATATTTACACTTCTAGGTCTTATTTAAAAAAATGATGCATGAAAATAGGAGCAACTTCTCCAGTTTATTCGTTTTTAATTTATAATTTTTTTACTAAAAAATGTTTAGTTTACAGCTGCCTAAATTGACTGAGAACACTACAATCCACCGTTCCTCCACCCTACTGGACATGTTTTGAATTTTCTTCCATCGTTAGTGGTATCACATATTTATCAGATCTAACTATTCCATTGTGCTCTTTTGTGATTTTAGGAGCTCAACAGATTTTTTCGTTTTTGCCTTTTCTTTTTTCTTTTAAATTTTCCCAGCACTGTGATTTAGGAAACGTTTCTATGGTGTAAGTGGTGTCTCCCTTTTAGTTTCACAAATGAAAGTCTATGTCTTCGATCGACATCCCTGTTGGGTGGAGCATGGGGGGTGAGTAAGACCAAAAGGAGGATAAGAGGGGAAGGGTGGGGGAGTTAGCCGACCCAGTCAGTTTTCCTTGTGTTAATTAGAATTTAGAAATTATTTTAATGAATAGCCTGTCCGCAAAATGTAATCTACAAGTTTTTTTAAAAGATATTTCATGTGTACTGTTTATTAGATACAATGAATATATGAAGTTCATATATTTTGAACTGCGGTATTAGATACGTATGATGCACAATCCTCGCAGTAGATAGCGCTATTTATGCAATAGCGAAAATCAGACCTGAAAAAAATTAGGCCTGTACGGGACTCGAACCACTGACCTCTGCGATACTAGTGCAGCGCTCTACCAATTGAGCTAACAAGCCAACTGGGAGCAGGCCGTTAAGTTGATTCGTAATAAACCCGTGAAAGTGATAAATGAGATACAATGAATATATGAAGTTCATATATTTTGAACTGCGGTATTAGATACGTATGATGCACGATCCTCGCAGTAGATAGCGCTATTTATGCAATAGCGAAAATCAGACCTGAAAAAAATCAGGCCTGTACGGGACTCGAACCACTGACCTCTGCGATACTAGTGCAGCGCTCTACCAATTGAGCTAACAAGCCAACTGGGAGCAGGCCGTTAAGTTGATTCGTAATAAACCCGTGAAAGTGATAAATGAGATACAATGAATATATGAAGTTCATATATTTTGAACTGCGGTATTAGATACGTATGATGCACGATCCTCGCAGTAGATAGCGCTATTTATGCAATAGCGAAAATCAGACCTGAAAAAAATCAGGCCTGTACGGGACTCGAACCACTGACNATACGTATCTAACACTGCAGTTCAAAATATATGAACTTCATATATTCATTGTATCTCATTTATCACTTTCACGGGTTTATTATGAATCAACTGAACGGCCCGCTTCCAGCTGGCTTGTAAGCTCAATTGGTAGAGCGCTGCACTAGTATCGCAGAGGTCAGTGGTTCGAGTCCCGTACAGGCCTGATTTTTTTCAGGTCTGATTTTCGCTGTTGCATAAATAGCGCTATCTACTGCGAGGGTCGTGCATCATATGTACTGTCTATGTTGCAAAGGGAATATCACTATTCTGTTTTTATTTCCACATCCCAACGACCGATTTTAAAGGCATTGTCAGCGAACATGGCTTAGAAGTAAAGAAATTGTAAGTGCAAACTCACGGTGTTAAAATGGAAATTCTCTTGGTATTTTATCATCAATAGTGGTATGATACAATGATAAATTCACATGAATATTCATGACTTGTATTATATTACGCCTAATTGCAGCTTCTTTAAAAGCTGCAATCAGACGTTAAAACGTTGTCTCCATAAAAAATAAACGCACATGTATATAAAACAAAGAAAAGAAAAGAAAAGAAAAAAAAGTAAACAAGAAATCGGGAAAAAGCAAGAGATTATAAACAGTTTTAAATCTCTTGGTAAAAGAAATCCGCTCTATTCATGAATCCTTTCCAAATACCCTAACATTTTTATCATGACATATAAAATTTCTTCCTCTTTCTTTTTAATTTTCTTTTTTCTTCTGGATGCCGGCGGAAAGTAAAATTCAATTATGTTTGTGTTTACATCTCTGATATCAATTACAATTAATCTTGGCTGATGTCACATTTTTTGAGATCTCCAGTCTTTTGAAAATATCATTATATGTTTCTTTGTTTATCCTCCAATTTATGCCCAAATGTGCTGAAACTTAAGTGTTGTTAATTTGTGATCGGATGGAGTGCCTCCATACAAAAAAAAGGAAAAAAGTGACCTTTTGAAGAATAGGTAACTGAATTATTATTTACTAAGGAAACGATTTTCACTTGTTAAGGTGAAAATAGAAAAATGAAAATAGGAAAGACCATCCCGGTTGTAGCTTCTTGTCAATGTATTTTTCTCTCGTAGGATGAAGAAGAAAAGAGCAGAGAACAATAAAACGAAAACGAAAACAAATAACAAAGACAACAAGAAAAACAGGAAAAAATGTGAGCAGAAACGAAAACACATAACTAGAAAGGGGAAGCAGGGAACTAAAAATAAAGGCTTACCTTTTCAAGTTTATGAGAGCTGATGTCGAAATGAATCCAGTTGTTGAGTCCAGCGTTTGTGTCCTCCTTTTTTTCAGTAGATTTGGAAATCTGGTATATATTACATGCCCACATGTTCTTTTTGTCGTTAACTTTAAATTTTTGTCTCATCTCAAAGCTGTCGCAAAGAGGATTCCTCAAACATTTTTCAAGACATTCCATCTTGGTGAAAACAAACTGCCTTGGAAGCGACACAGTTGTATTAGACGACACCCTTCCTTGTCGTCGATGCCTTCCTAAGATATCTCGAAAAGATTCATACACATTTCTGCATGGGTTAACCAGATTATTAATCACAACAGCCGAAAAGACCACAACTACAAACGTTGCGAGGTATAATTTCGCCATTTGACAAGGCGCTCAGTCTTCTACACAAACCATTCGATGAATTCAATGTGTACAAATAGCACTTTCCTACGTACTTTTTTCCATTTGTTCGCCGGATATTTCAATATCTTTTTGTCAGGTTTAAACCAACAGATGGAAATTAAAGGGATTAAAGCATACGCCAGCATTTGCTTAACACCAATTAAAATCCAGAAGCAAAACCAATCAGCGTTTTGCGTGTTGCCGCCATCAAAGTTTTCATCCCACTTTTCGCGGGCTCTTTTTTATTTTTTATTTTTTATTTTACCACTGCAGTCTCACCTGAACCCAAAAACTTTACGATCAATTAAGAGAGAAACTACTCAACAGGTTTTCAAATTTTGGGAGAAAAAAGCAAGCTATTATCATTTCAAAGGTAAAAAACAATTAGCTGGATACAATAATATATATTCTTTCTTGAGTTGTCAAACACCATGCCAGAATAATTGACAGGATGTTTTTCTTACACAACCAAAAACAAAGCAAGTCTTAAGAAAAAAAAAGAAAGAGGGAGAAAGTAGCTTTTGCCTATTAACTTTCTGGAGGTTCCTTCTTTCTTGAGACAGCTGCTGTCGCGCCATCACGTACGTGTTTATATTTTACTATCGAGGTGTGTGCGGAGATTTCCTACTCAGAACCTCAAAACAAACTTCCATTCTGCCTGGAGAAGATTGGCTTTGATCATAGTTTGATACTCTAAATAATATTTATGAAACCAATTAAGGGTTCGTATCAGTCTCTGCCTTTATTTTCTAAAATAGATAATCGATAGGGTAGATACATCAATTTCCTGTTCTTCAGGCCCCCTATGTTTGACGAGTCGATGGCGCTTTCTAAAAGAGGAAGCCCTATCCGTTCAGTAGCGTAGCACGTTCTTCCTTTTTTTTATTAATTTTTTTTCCCGCTTGTCTGATCACTAACGATATATCCTGGTTGGATAGCATTAAATCCGCCCTTTAAACAAGTAGGCCCAGATCAGATTGTAAGCTGGATGTATCGCGACAGTTAGCCATTGCAAATATTTCCTTGTCCTGCAATAGCGAAAATAACAAAATAAATGCGTAGAATTCATCCAGTAAATCCATAAATGCTTATTATTGAATAAAGAAAAGCTTTGGAATTGCTGGTAAAATTGTCTTTCTGGAATCAAAGTCATTTCAATCAAGGTGAATCCAGATGACTCAAGGACGACTGAAGGACGAGAAAATGGCTCTTATACACGATGACGTCATTAGCTTAAAACTCACCCCTGGGCCTCTGCTTCAGAATTCCATAATTTTTTTCTAATTTTTGTTGTTGTCTTCATATGGGGTTTTCTTGATTTTAGTATTTTGAGAATTATTTCCTGTTGAAATTTACCAGTCTGCACCTTGAAAGCTAGGGCGGAGGGTAATGTTGGGTTATTCGACGTAAACATGCTCGTGGTAATTTTTTTTTCAGCTTTTCAAACAAAAAGGTACAAATTTGTAAATTGAATAAGAAAGACGGTAAGTCATTTACTGCTCATTATGGAGTCTGTATAGTTGTTGCGGCTAAATGGTAGAGCATCGGAGCACGGAATGCGAGGGTGTAAGGCACGATTCCTCCTGGGAGCTCAGAATTTTTTTTTCCCACGCCCGTGACATTGGACGAAAAATATCTAGGGTGTAAACTTGTAGCTAAAATGAGTTTTACAATATTAGCTGCGGCTATGTACTGACAAATGGCATGGACCTCTTTCGATTTTGGGTCTCTTTCAGCTTCGATGGAACTTGTTTTGGTAAGCAAATGAATCCTTCGAAACAGAGATGTATGAAAGTAATTCCATCTGTTCACAAAGAGAAAAGAGCATTTAAAATTCCATAGCAATGCTTTGCGTGTTATCATTTAACGTTACAGCAGTGTGTAAGTATCCTAAAGCAGTCTCTAAGAATGGCTCCAAACCATGGCATGAAGTAAGATATCTATTGTGGAATAGGACAACAACAGTGGTCACTCGGACTGTGTGGGTCAACACAACACCATCCATCTGCAAGATCCTGAGCCTTCCAGGCTCCACTGCAGTTTCCCTGCCTCTTCTTCTTGGCACATGACTGGACAGTTAAAGCTGTGGTCTGGCAATACTCATCCATTGTCACGTTGATGTGCGTTTGTAATGATGATTCTAACGTGGAACTCGTTTCATCTGCAAAACACATAGTTGATACCAATTGTATATCATTTTTCATTCTAATAAGTGCTGTGCCATTGCTAGTGACACATCTTATTTCATAATAGCTTCCTTGTCAGGTTCGACCAAATCCTCTCTTTATCCAAGTAAGACCTTGTGCGTAACAAGTTCATAAATCCGATCCGTTTTCAGTAATTAGTTATAGGAAGGGGGGGGTGGGCGAGGGGAGGTTCGGAGGATATTTGGGGTCGCATGGCTTCCAGGTGGGAACGGAGGGGAGATCAGGTAATTTAATTATTTTATTGTGACACTATCAAAATCTTCTTACCTCCTCCTCCTCCCTACGGTAATGACCGGTCCCTAGCGCCAAGTTTTTTTCTATTTTTATCAAAGCAACTCACTCTTCTTTTGTCACCTTTTCATTTTGCAGTTACTGTTAGTACCATTGTCCTAGTAAACAGGACGCAACCATGATTGTTGCTCTTAGAATCCAAAAGAAAAATCAGATGTAGAGGGGTCCTCTGTCACCTCTCTGTATGCTGAGAAAAACTTTAAATGTTGTAATAATAATATTTTAGTTCACAGCTCATGAACGATTTTTAACCTTCTTCCAAACTACTCAATGATATGAAGAAATGGCCTTAATAAAAGACAAATGCCTCTTTTGCCTGTCCGGTGTTCGTAATCACGAACTGCAAAGTGAGGTAGTTTTCACTCTTTGCATTTTGCTTTCAGCAAAAATACAAGCTCCCTACTTGTCTTTCTCAAACCCGATCAACCGGAGTCTCCAGGTACCTAGGAAGTGTTTGGTAATAATTTCTGAGTATTCAGTATTTTTCAACGTTACTGAGAGTACCTGTCTCTATCCCTTTACATTCCTCTTCTGCCGTCGCAAGAATCTGGAACATAAGAACATCTGATTCAGGCAATATAAATTTTCCTAAATAAAACTATCAAAGCCTTTTTTATTAGATATCATTTTGCTCTGCAACTGAGAACTGCATGCTTTGCCAGCTCCCTTTGCAAACATTTTTTAAATAAAACAGATAAAAGTTTACTTTCTCTCATTAGCAGTCTTATAAGTTCCTGTTTAACCAAAGAGGACGAGATCATTAACATAGCTTCGTAATGCTGCTTACGAATATATATGAAAAAACCTATATTATTTCATTGAGAATGAGCCTATAAAAAAGCAGAAACAGCAGGTGAAAATTTCCAAGCCAAATATTCTAACCAAAAAGGATCAGATCATTAACATAGCTTCGTTATGCTGCTAACGAACATATATGAAAAAACTAATATTATTTAATTGAGAATGAGCCTATAAAAAAGCAGAAACAGCAGGTGAAACTTTCTTAGCCAAATTATCTAACCAAAGAGGATGAAATCATTAACATAGCTTCGTTATGCTGCTTACGAACATATATGAAAAAACCTATATTTTTTAATTGAGAATGAGCCTATAAAAAAGCAGAAACAGCAGTTGAAACTTTCCAAGCCAAATTTTCCCAAGTTACATTTCATCCTAGTGAATACAAACTATCAGTCTCTAAGAATATGGAAAATATGGCTAACTTATATATGTGTATTTGGAAAATAAAACAACAAAAGGATATTCGTGAAAAATAAAATATAAGATGATAAATATTTTAATCCCAAAACCAGGGATTTTAAGAAATATTGCTGTTGTAAAGTTAATAAAGACAAGAAGGAGAAAAAAGTTCAGCAGATTCGATAACTCAATGAGGTGCTTATGATGTTATGAAATTAAAGTTGCCCGCGCTAACCACTGTGTGAATTAAGGCGAAGCAAAACTAAGACTTGGAATAAATTCGTGGAACATAAATTTTGATTTAATTTTCGCAGAGACATTGGTTTGGTTTTTTTTTTTTAATAATGTGGATGATATTGAATTCTGCGATGAAATACATTTAAGTCCAACCTTTTGTGTTCTTTAAAAGCAATTATGAAAAAAATGTACTTAAATCAGGAAATAAAGATGCCATAGAAAAATTGTCTATGGCAAAATACCATTGAGGTGATTGTGAAAATTCAGAATGAAAAAGAAACATCAGGCTCAACCGGGAAGTTCTCGAAATGGCTTTGAATTAAAAGCTACCTCAGATTTGTAATGGACTATGATTTTCTTTCTGGGTTTCTGCGTTTCGAGTATTTTGTCAGGTCTACAAATCAAAGATATCTTTCGAAGTTAAAACGTGATTCCAAAATTAGGTTCCAATGAGCGTACGTATTTCATTTTCCTCAAAAAACATTCCTCAGATTAGCACATACTGACGCTTACCTCCTCTAACGCCTTTGAGCTTATATTTATATGAGTCCAGTCGTCGTTTTCTGCGATAAAATATTTTGGAGCAACGCGATTTACTCTGCAGCATCTCTTTGTGTTCTTCTTTTTGACATCAATAGATGCGCACTGCTTAGTTCTTAAGCAAAGATCTAAACACTGTAGGTTGGTAAATACATCTTTTTCAAAAATAACCGTGTTCGTGTTTGCCAGTAGATATCCATCGATTGTCTTGTTATCAATGATTTCTTGAAATTCTAAGAATCCATTCTGATCACAGGATTTGAATATTTGAATTGATAACATGAAACAAAGCAAAAAAAGCCAGGGTACTTTCCAGAAGCCAGTCTTAAACTTCTGCATTTCGAGATGTTTGGAGATCTAGATACCCGCCTAGGAAAACTGATGTGTAGACAAGTGATTTTGTGCTTCCCTCGTAATGTGGTGGATATTTCAGATACAAAAGCTTTAGACTAAACTTGGTTAGGCTTTGCAGATAAGACCAAACTGTTGACTTAGGAATATACAGTTAAATCAATTTGATCAAATGACCCGACACTTTGTCTTAAATGAGAATATTTTAGCCTTCCTGAAAGCGTAGGTGGTATAGGATTCATAATCACCCGATAATATTAGAATACTTAGCTCTTTTTACTAATGAGCCGCTGCTAGTTGCGTTTTGACAAAAGTGTCTGTTAAATAGAACGAATTAGTTGTAAGGCTTAGTGCAATAACAGCGATGATTGTCAAGTGAAAACTGTCTCTTAACCTGTTGAAATGAATATTAATTTACCTAGATTACATGTTAACTAAGGGTTTTGTCAGAAGAAACTCGTGAAATAAAAAACAAAACAAAACAAAACAAAACAAAAAAACAAAAAGGCAGCTTTGAAAAAAAATCCTTCCTGAAAAATATTTTTTTGGCAGTCTGACCTGATTTAGTCTATAATGCCCTGTATTGAACATACAAGAAGTAATACAAAACCAAACAAAGGTGCCGAGAGTCTTTTTTAATTTGCAACTGAAGGCTATTATGCTTTAATCCCTTAATTTCCATCTGTTGATTTAAACCTGACAAAAAGATATTGAAATATCCGGCGAACAAATGGAAAACGTAAGCGAGAAAATCCGTGTTTGGACAAATAAGTGCTATTTGCTCACATTGAACTCATCGAGTGGTTTTTGTAGAATTCTGACCGCCTTGGCAAATGGAAAAATTATACCTTGCAACAGCTGTAGTTGTGATCTGTTCGGTTTTTTCCATTAATAATCTGGTTAACCCATGCCGAGATGTGTATGAATCTTTTCGAGACATCTTAGGAAGGCAACGACGACAAGAAAGGGTGCCGTCTAGTACAACTGCGTCGCTTCCAAAGCAGTTTGTTTTCACCAAGATGGATTTTCATGAAATATGCTTGAGGAATCCTCTTTGCGACGGCTTTCAGATAGGACAAAACTTTAACAGAAACATGTTGGCTTATAAGATATACCAGATTTCCAAATCTACTGAAAAAAAGGAGGACACAAATGCTGGACTCAACAACTGGATTCATTTCGACATCAGCTCCCAAAAAATTGAAAAGGTAAACCTTTGTTTTCAGTTCACTGCTTCACTTTTTCAGTTCACTGCTTCACTCCTTTCTAGTTATATGTTTTTGTTTCTGCTCAATTTTTTCAAAAAGCGATTTTGCAAGCAGTCTAGCTAACTCGACGAAAATCCTACCCTTGAACTGAACTGAACAGGGATTTGGGTGATAACTGTCGGCCCACAAATGAAGCGCAACTTGGACAAATATTTCTTTTAGATGTTTAGATTGTTCATTACAGCTCCACCGTGATAGATTGATCGAATCATCTTCTCTCCAGATTTTTGCTTTGTTTGTTTTTTTTTGTTTTTTTTTATATTTTTTCTTCCAAGTTTTTGGTTTTACCTTTGAATGGTGGTCATTCTGGTATCTGGAGGACGATATGAAAGTGGGGCATGCACATAGTTTTGGGCTGCTGCAGGCTTGTTTTGTGATTATTTTTCAATAATCATAGATTAGTAAAGTGCGATCGATCTAGCTCTGGACTGGATTTTATTTTTTTATTTTTTTATTTTTTTTTCCTGCGGCGTTTAAAAACTTCCAGGCTAAAATTTGTCTGGTTCCCACACCTTCCTCGGCCAAGCAGTTGCGAGACTAGGCTATAAACATGCAAGTAACGAAGGGTGACGTGCCTCACAGTTCTGATTTGTAGAGATGGATTTAGTTTGATAAATAGTTCAATCAAACGGGTGAAATTTATTCGCATATCTTCCCTATGACACTCGAATCGCAGCGAGCTAACCCGCTCAGTCACTACACTTAGCCTGTGATCCGGATACCCGTGGAATATCATAAAACCAGCGCGCGCGGGAATGGAAATTGACATGAATAGTAAGCGTCGAACGCAGCCAAATAGTTATTACGATAAAATTACGTATCTCTGTAGAAATAAAACGGACTTCTACGAGTTGCGAAGCATTCTTTTTGAAATTTTGAACGTACCAGAACGATTGAATCAAAAATTTATACCTAATGTATTATTTTCTAACATTTTGGATCTTTATGGATGTCAGACCACACGCCAAGCGTAAATGTAAGAGCATGATAATGTAGAGAAATGCCAATCAAAATAAAACGATCTAGATACAATGTAAATACAGGTTGTAAATAAATTCCAAACACTCATGGGTTGTGGCATGGAAATATGGGACCGATGCAAATCTGCTTACACGTGATAGGAGTTGTTAAATTTTATTAGGAACGTTTAATGACGGGGAGATTCACAAAAAAAATGTCTTAGATGGCCGTGAAAGGACTTCAGATCTTGCAATTGTCATTTAAATCCTGGCGAAGTATTATTCAAAAGTCAATGTTTTTTGTTCTTTTCCTAAATGTAATTTTACAATTCAACTTACCTTTCTTAAATATGCAGAACTCACGTTGAAGTGGATCCAATCGCGCTCCGGCACTAAACGCACCGTGTGTTGATTACCGTCGTAAATCCTACAGATCTTCCCGTTAGGCGCTGAGGATTGCATGAAATCAAATGAGACGCAATGATCAAACCGTAAACAACTGTCCAGGCATCCCATAATGGTGAATATGCCATGAGGTACAAATGCTGGACTCAACTCTGACGAAATGCGCTTTCCTGCAAAAATTCGATCTTGATTCCTTGCTTGGGTTGGGTTTCCAAAAAGCGTATCACAAGTTTTAGTGAAAGCTAAATCAACCAGAAAAAAAAATACTGTTAATTTGATGAATGTTACAGCCATCTTGTTGCTTTGCTTTAAGGCCACTACAGGCTTTCGATTAAAATCGGATTTTATCCATGTTGGTACATACAAACGCTTACATTTTGACAGTTTTGATTGAAATGATTCTTACGTTAATTGGCCAGATGCTTTCAACTTGATCTTTGGGTTTTCTCTCTCTTTAACTTTGTGTGTGTGTGTTCTTTATTATTTTTTATTTTTGTTGCTGTTCTTCTTTTTTATTAAAATATTTGTTTCTTTTTTTTTCGATAATGATAAAGAAATTTCTGACCGATATTCACGATTATGTAATTTTAGACATGAAAACATCATAGACGGAAATAGGTTATATCTTGATGTTATTCTTCTTTTAGTACGTCATAAGCTTTCACCTAACAGGGGTTCTCTTTTGTAGATATTCACTTACAAATTCCTAATTATTCGAAATAAGAATGGTAGGCATAAATTACACTTTGATGCTGTGTTCAAAATTTAATGATTTCTACATGAATACAAAATGTCAGAGAAATTTCAAGATTCACATCTAATCAGCCTGTAACTCTATAATCTGCAATTTACAATAGATGTGCCTAAAATTCATTGAAATTAGACTTCGAACGGTCCCTTCTCTGCGGCGAAGTTCATCGCGCGCGCGAGTAAAAGAAAAAAGCACTTGAAAATAAATTTCGCTCTTCTGCCGGAGTTTCGCGTGGTGTAAAAAAGTAAAACGTCAATTTTTAAATTTTTTTTTAATTATTGGAGCGAAAAACGATGTCTGCTCGTTTTCTTCATTTACAAATGCTAGAGTTAAGAATTTTAAATGTTTACTTTTTTTTCTTAGAATCTAATCAGTGGCACTTGTCATATTTCAGGCGACAACACACAGTTAAATGTAAACACAGAATCCAATTATGACTTTCTCAGAGTTTTTTCGTACTTGTAAATGCTCTGAGTTACTGGTGACAACGGGTTGCAAACGATTCAGCCTTTTTAGCTTATTCCTTTTCAGTAAGCAACACCTACAAGAGAATAAAGTAAAGAAATGATCGAAGCTTTCTTTCAGGCAAAATGAGAGCATCATGATTGACGACTCTACATGGGTAATAATCTTTCCCAATCTTGCCCCCTAATGGGAAATGCACTGAAATATCAACAACATCGATTCTGAATTTAACGTATCATACTTTCCAAAAGACGAGGTCTGACGCCAATTTTCCACGTTCAAAACCGAATCAGTCTCGACATAATTTTCCCAAATGAACCTTTCGCAATGTCCGAGTTCAGAGAATTTGAAAAATTAGCGACGATATGACTCGTAACTCGTAACTTTCGTACCTAATAACAAACCTTGAACCAAACCTCACTTGTTATTAAATATCTCCTATATTTACGTGTTGATTTTCACCAAACCCAAAGAAATCCCGTCTCCAAGATAAACGAACAGCAACAGAAGCTGACAGTTTCCCAGATAAAATCCTCTTGATAAAATTAAGAAAAAAAAAAAAAATAGAAGGTGGGGAGGGGGGGGAATATTCACTCCCTCCCCGTCCTTGTACGTTTGCGGGTTACAATTACAGAGCAGGAGCTACTTTTCAATTTTGTTTGTTTTACTCTTTGTAAACGACACTATGCTAATTCCAAACTCTTAAGTAACCATTGGCTTTGAAAAAAGTAAACTAAATGAAAAATACGAGAAAACGCACCAAACTGATCTTTAAAACTGGAATCCTTATAGGAAGAATATTTTATCGATTATAACATGGACTGCACCTCTTGACAAGTGAAAAACACTGTTATGAAATCCTAGTTTAAATGCTATTGCTTGTATCAAGAAAATATGAACTGTAATCTCCTGTTGAAAAGTGACATGCAAATTTCGTTTATTTGGAAAAATCAACATTGGAGTGATATTTCCACTCTAAAACGATATGTTTGGGAAATTTTGATGATGACCGAAAGTAAATTCCAGTTGACAGCTACTTGAGAAAAAGGATTATGAGTCAGCTCATGTGAATCAAAACAAACGCCTAATAACTACAGCGGGATTGGCTTCATTTCCAGTTCACAAAAAGAGGTTCATAAAATGAAGGGCCATTGTTTTATTCCATGTGTTCAACAAAATTGCTTGATTAGCTTTTAATTTTTCTTTTGTTTCTGAGACTTCGCGGAGGTCGATGTGTCACAAAGTATTCATACTGGTCAAAACAATGAGTATTGTAAAGTAACGTCTGCCTGGGAATTTGGTTACCGCCAGTTCAGACGAACAGCAAATAAAGGCAGTGTGCATTTTGCACACGCTTTTCTTCCGAGCACATTTACTGTATCCCTCTTTCCCCTGTAGAGAAGCTTTGAGCTGGAGAAATGGGACAGGAGATATTTGTCTTCATCTTAAACCTTTTCGTGGCATTCTACTTGTCATGTGCACAAGGTAAGTTCGTGTATCTCTATCACACTTTAATTTGTTTTCAAACGTCTGATCGATGGGGCGGGAAAGTCATTGTTTCACCCATAATGGCTCCTTGCAAGTTCGTTTTCTCATTTGTTTTTAATTTATAACCTTATTCTATACCTTCGTTGTATGCTTCCTTTGATCAGTTCTAAAAACCTGCGGATACCAACTCATTCTTAGGAAAACTCTCATGAATCATGCTTTTCTACTGCTATACACACGTTTAAGTACAAAAGAGACAACATCGATGGTGATGGAATTCACAGAGTTCGGTTCCATATGAATACACAACAAGTTCTATTAACTCCCTCATGTTGTAAGTCGCAGCTTATCCCTCGTTACATGCTATACAATCTTTACATTAAGGCACTGATTTTTCTTCGTCGCAGTAAACTTGCCCTATATTAGATTTTTGGTTGCCATAAGTCAACTATCACATTGCAATCGATCCCAGTTGGCACCTCTGGTATCATGAATTGTTAATTCCGACATTCGACAAAAATTCATTGAAACCCGGCTATGTAATCTTGAAAGCACACGATAAATCTATTGAATGGGTGCGTGTTGCCAGCACTGGAACACTCTGAGCCGATTAACATGCTTTACTCGGATATATTTTGTAACTCTGATGTAGAGCGACACTGACAAAGCCGTTATTGCTTGGCACTAGAGAAAGAGAAAAACAATGTATTCCAAATTAATTCTTTGTCATCTGAGCTTGCTTTGAAAGTGTACACACTACAGCCGCCCAAATTAAACTTAAAATGGGTGCAACATTGTTTTTTTATCTGATTAGTGAAGTTAACATTTAAACTGCGGGTAAGCATATGGTTGTCCTTCTCTAGACAAATTTATTTTCATTTTGATAACCATGGGATCCCAATAGTATTTTGCATTAGCTATTCTTTTGCAGAAGAATTTAGTCGAATTAATTCATAAACTCAATTGGGGTCTTCATTCTCAGCCGCGGATCAAATGTTGCCAATTTTAGAGCGCCATTGTTTTCGTTAGACCCAAGTTCGGTCCTCTATAGAAAAGGAACATGTATTTATCAAACGGTGGAATTCTACTTCAGACACATCACGTCTTGGTGCACACAACGAATGCCGCATTTTATAGTTCAACGGAACGCCTTGTAACTTTATGTGCAAGGTGTAATGAAAATAATCTTCTTCACTTACCAGAAGTAATTAGAAAATAAGACACAAAAATAGCCAACACGCACTGGAGAATATTGGGTACGGCCTGGGAGTAACGCTATAAACCCGACTTAATGATAGCCAAAAATGAAAAAAGTTATATCAAGGTAATAAAAGTAAGGCTACACTTAAGCGTACCAGGGTGGCCAGTAAAAACCTGCCCCAATAAAGCTCATAGGAGAAAAAGGGGGACTGGAAATCTGGGACCGGCAAGGCACATCTTACGTCCCACGCCACGACTCTACGAATTTACTCGAAATTACAAAGTCAGCAAAAGCGAAAATCTAATTCCTATCAAAACGATCACCAACGAATAATGGAAAAAAAATGTAATGCCATAATGGTAAACATAAGACGAATATCACAACATTAAATTGACAGATCCTTAGATACAGCTAAACGCTCGCTTAGGCCGTGCTTAATATATCTATGCTTCGTGGACTCGCACCTCCAACCAGCGTGGATATCTAACAAGTCACCAGCTATCTTCCAACAAGCCGGATTAGAAGCCGCCCCAGACTTCAAACTGTGCGTGCCGTATCTGGAAACATCACTAACAAATGGCTTAATATGCCTCTTAAATTCCTCCCTTAAAGTGGAAACAGAAACACCTAAACTAGAATGAAAATACTCCTTAGACCTGGCTTTGACAATTCTGCGAACTAATGGGAACGCAGAGGAAGACTGTGGTAAAAGCTTAATCAACTGTTCAGTAACAGCTACAGGACAAGTAACCTTGCCGGTTCTAGCGAGAAAAGCAGTATGGCCTTCCCGATACTGGTCGTTTTTGCGCTGAGGCACATAAACAGACATATGATCACTAAGTATAGAGACATCACGAAGTGCTATATTCGTGATCTCAGCAATGCGAAAAAAGCCGGCAAGACCAACCAAAGGAATAAATAAAAAACGAAGATCGGAAAGCGAAGTGCTTGAGGCAAAACGGGCAGCTATTTCCTGTAAGGTACTAACCGACAGCGGTTCCTTAGGCTGAACAAGTCGGGCGAACCTTCTTTTGGCGCCTTCTAAAGCAAAGTTTACTAAGGGATGGCTAACAGGGCAAGCCTCAATAACGGCAATTGCGTGGCCCCACTTAATAGCACAAATAGCAGATTCTATAGGAGATACACCGAAGCTATTCTCGGAAGAACGTTTAGCTAGCTCAGATATAAACAATGCGATATACAGAGGTTTGGCCGGAACTACGGAAAACACCCAACTTGGACAGAGCCCACCGGCGCCACCGTAACCAGCCAGATTTGTACTTTACCACTGTGGACGGAGCCTTGGCATCTAATTGCAGATCAGTAAGGCCTGGAACCATCTCACTCAGAGAATAATCGGACAATGAGGCTGCTTCAAGCCAAATCCCGGAACTCAGCACATCTGAAAGAAAAGAAAATATCTTGGAAATCAAGCGATTTCTTTGATAAATACCGAAGGAGGCACAAACACGTGCAACGAGATCACCTTAACTCAGAGCACATCAGCAGTGCTCAAAATATGCCAATCCAGGCTCAAAATTTACCAATTCAGGCTAAAATATGCAAAATCAGGCTTAAACCACTATCGCGACGGTACCAAAAAACTCACCCGAAATCCACACGCAAAGCCAACATTTTAAATTTTGGGCAACCGTGAAAAACGGACGGGGGAGACTGATAGACTTGCCCTGACCTGGGCCCTCCAAAATAAGGTCCTTAATGGCGGGAAGCACTAAAACGTGCCTGAAGAATGACTTCAATCGAGAAAGATCCGTCACGTAAAAGAGGCCAAATATAGGCCGATGGCCATAGAGGAATAATCGAGGTCCCGCGACCGGAACAGGCCAAGAGCAATCTAATGGCGTCCAGAACGAGACCAACCGGATGCCAAACCCAGTTGTTCTCCGCTCTCCTATGCTGCGCCAGAGCATCGAGAGCGGAACAACCAGGGGCAGCAAACTTGGAGTTAAAACGCGGAAGGTGAGCGTTAGAAAAGGAAGTGAAAAGGTCAATCGTGTGGGGACCCCATTTGGCATCTACAAGTCCAAACACGGAGGGATTAATACGCCAATCATCCTTATCGACGAACCGGCTTAGGATATCAGCTCTCTCGTTGAGTGACCTAGGAATCCATTGCGCTTCCAAGGCAATACAGTGAGAAAAACAAAAACGAAAATTGCTCAGAGTCACCGACTGAAGATAGACCATAGAGCTGCCAACGGAAACAATCCTGGCAGCATTCTGATTGTCGGTAAAAATCTTAACCCGCCTGTGCTTGAGGTGCTCAACAAACGAAATCAAGACATAATAAATAGCTTTCAGCTCGCGAAAAGTAGAACTTTCACCCAAATCGTCGATAGTGAACATACCGCTGGCCACAGTGCCGTCCAGGGAGGCGGAAAAGCCTCAGAGAGCTGCGTCGCTCGTGTCGGAAAATTGAAGGGTGGATGAATCAAGAGAGGGCCGAATGGAGTAACCATTGAAAGATTCAATGTTACAAAACCAAAACTTCAATTCCTCCAGTAGAGCAGGAGGAAAGAGAAAAACGTGATCCCAAGCTGACTTAGACTCTGTAGCTAAGTACATCTGCCTTGTCAGAAGACGCGAAATAGGACCGAACGCCGATGCCACTGAAATAATGGAACCGGCAATC